TACTTCGTATACCAACTTGATTGAATTGAGCGTGAGTAATACATACAATCCACCAGTTACATCATTTGACCCCATTCTTGACGAACCTATGGTCGAAAGTGAAATTACAGCTGCTCTAAACACATTAAAAAAGAATAAAGCTCCAGGTATAGATGGCATCCCTCCGTTAATGTTTAAACTTTTCAATGATAAACTTATATATAATGTTTACAACGGCTCTTATAAACAAGTTACTTGAGGAAGAATCATATCCAGATGCTTGGAGCTTAGGTATAATTAAACCAATACTGAAGAAAGGAGATAAGAAATGTCCATCCAATTACAGGGGAATAACATTGCTCCCCGTAATGGGGAAATTATTTACGGCAATCCTAAGAGACAGGCTTTTCTACTGGGCTGAGCATAACGATAAACTTGGCGAAGCACAGTTTGGTTTTAGACCAGGAAAACGAACTACTGATGCAATCTTTGTTATCACCACAGCAATTCAATCACACAAGAAGAGAAATAAGCCACTGTTTGCGTGTTTTGTAGATTTTGCAAAAGCATTTGACTCGGTTAATCACCAACTACTTTGGGAGAAACTAGCCTCAATGGGTGTAAGCACAAAGATAATCAGAATACTAATATAAATGTACACTTTTGACTATTGGGTCACCCGGCCTCTACTGTCATAAAAAAGTATTATTATTATTATTGTTATTATTATTATACACACCAAATACAGGTGCAGAATGATAGGAAGAGGAGAGAGAGATGGTTGCAGATAACTGGCGAAGCAAACTTTAAATGTTCGGTTGTAATACCAGATGCATCAGACTTGTGCGATTTCAATTGGGAGATAGCAGAAGAAACATCAACTTCAGAGATAGTTACTGAAGAAAGATCTGACTCACTCAGTGATGACTTAATTGAAGCCAGAAGCGAGTTACGAGGAGAAGAGTATTCAGATAATTGACAGAAGAAGTAGGAGTATTATCAGAAGGCATATACACACTAATCAATAAGACTGATGACCCCGACAAATCACATAATTTCACAGCACAAAATCTATTAGAGTGAGAATGTAATGGGGTGACACAGGAGGATAATGAATTTCTATACAGAATAGCACAGCCACCAAACGGTCTACCGGCCAACAAAATGAATCATCCATACCACAGACACCAACATACGCAAAATCCTTGGAGATCTCACCGATTTTATGAAGATGACTACTGAGTAACCAATGCTCTTGTACAAAACAAACATCAAAAGAATAAATATATGGTTTTAGTGTAATCGTACCACTATTCCATCCTCTACAATTATATGAAGTGGGGCCATTATGACGCGTTTGAACCCCCCTGGACAATGGTAGAAGATGAGGACGCAGAGGAGGACAACACAGCAGTTGAGGGAGAACGAGAGCAGTCAGGAGAGGAAGTATGTAAAGAAGCAGGGGAGGCATGATGTGATGGACAGTCCCTGGTGGAATCAGAGTCCATGTTGTAGTTGGAGGAGGCCGTGCTTGATTGAGGCTGATTTCCCTAGGAGAAGCAGTCAAAGCATTGATAGCTGGAGGGTCATCACTGGGAAGAGACTGAACAGCCACTTTAGAGGGACTCTTTGCTCGAAGTTTGTGGCCAGGAGGTACGTCCTCCCGTAAGAACAATCGAGGTATTCTAAAGGTACGCAAGTTACGCTTACGAAGAAGAATTAGTTTACGATCCCATTGGGTTGTGAGCTTTATCAGAACCGGACGGGGCCGACCAGGGCCCGGAGACCCACTTGAGCTTGAATACTTTCCCTAGTCTAAACACATCCTTCACAGGAACTGGTTTATTTGCAAGAAATTCTAACGTCCCATCTACCAGATCCTTAGTTTCAACAATAGACCTACTCTCAGGGAGACCAAAAAGAACAAGATTACAGTCTCGACCTTCAGGAGAGGGTGGTGGCTTGTATACCTTCTGAGACAAGGATGTAGTAGTGCGAGGGGACTGCAACAGCAGTGGAAGCAACAGCTGCATAACTGGTTTGACCAGCAGTAATGCTACTAGCCTCAAGCAAGGATGTTATTTTTGTTTCGAGAAGGTCAATCTTGACAACCAGGTCTTTCAGGGATAGAGTGTTAGTCTCAACCCTCTCTGAAATAGGATCAAGAGATAAGGATGGGATTCTTAAGAGCTCAGTGGCTTCACAGTAAATTCCTGGGATTAGGTCAGCAGAATCTAAGGCCACGAAGGCCTGTATAATGTCATCAACATTTGCAGCCAACTGACTGCGCTTGTCGGAGCCACGACGTGAGTGATGAGTAATACCAGCAGCCTCAAGGTCTTGGCTACAATAGTCCCACAACAACTTTTTTGCAACTTCAACATCAGCAGGTCTGAAATGCTCAAGCACTTTCTTTTTAGAGACTCTATATCACCCTTCAACCGGTAGGCCTTAACAAAGGACAAGACTGCATTGACAAGCAGGGGCATAGGGAGACGTTGTGATGAGACGGATGGCAAAGATGCAGACCTTGCAGTGCTCTGACTACGACCTTGAGGTGTGTGGCCCTGAGGACAATGACTGGCAACACCTGAGCCATGTTCAGCACCTTGTTTTGGTGGACAGGATAGGCTGTAAACACTCAATGGTTTACCTAAATGCACAATAGACTGTCTCCACTTTTTGGTCTTTTCCCACAGTAGGTTTCAAACTCAGAAGGAGTGAACCAAGAACCTTTGAACGTAATGCACTTCCCTAAAGACCGTTTAGACTCATCTAACTTATCAAGATAGAATTGGGCAGAGTTGCTGCCACAGGTGATACAGATAAAACAACCAAAATCGTCATAAGCAATTGAAGGTTTCAACAAGGGACAAACCGACCGACTATCACTTTTGGCAGCCATGCCAGAGGCAACAAACGAGCTGTACCACAAAGCAAAACAACCCAAGCATGGCACGGTACGGTTACAAATCGCGCCGTTGGACAGGTTAGCTCGCTCCCGCTCGCCAAAAATCGCGCCGTTTGGACCACTAGGTTAGCTCGCTCCCGCTCGCCAACTAGTAGGCGAATGCATGGAATTCTTGGTGAGCGGGAGCGAGCACACAATGACTGTATAAAGCGCGTAACGAAGCCTCGCATGCGCACTTACATGACGTACGCGGTCGAATAAAAAAAATCGCGCCATTTGGACCACTAGGTTAGCTCGCTCCCGCTCGCCAATTATACTGAGCGACACCCAATTTTTGTTGTTAGTTATACAGCATGATGATAAAAGCAAGTGCTTTTATATAGACAAACGTTTGGAGTGGGTGGAGCAAAGTCTTGGCAACAACAAAGTCGTGTGCACAGCAGCCGGGCCGGGCCACGGTCTAACAGTTGCCGACCTGAGCCATTTATACTTCTTCTAACACAGGCTAGTTGCATCAGTTGGTAGCAACGCTGGACTTGTGACACTCCCTGAGTACTTTACTCTCATCACAGTACTATCTTTAATCTCAGTACGAGTACATCGTACTCATGACGGTACTCGATATGCATATTGGCTTTGTCCATGCTATGCAACCGTTTTTCACCCCTTGTATATAGCACAGAAGCACTTGGTATTGTTCATAGGAATCCTCGGTGCCAGAATATCTGTCGACGCACACACACATGCACACTGAGGGTTTACGATATATACTATGAGAGATTCCTACATGCCATACTTGTATATGACATATTATATTATTTTCAGACAAAGAAAAGGATAAGATGCTCTCTGCTCCCTAGTTTAACTTAAAACCTCAAAGGCCTATTTAATGTCGTATAAAGTTTGGTGAAGATACGAAAAATATCAGTGGAACCATAAGTGTCACCGATATACAGTATAGGGACTTACAAGGGCACAGCAATGGGGAGTCATGGTGTTTGCCCCTAGTGGGCGAAGAAGGGTGGGGGATGGAGGCTTCCCAAGAGTTACGCTATGCTTCTTCCCTCCGGCCCATGAGGAGGAGGGGCGCCGGCGAGCCGTATCGGGAGGGTGAATCCAGAAAGGGAGGGGTGTACCTGACGGGGTGCGCAAGAGACGATTACCAGATCCCAGGGGGGGCCAGAGAGGAATTGGGCGCGGCTGTTGGCGGGGTCTGGTCGTACAGCAAATGCGTTTCAACCGGGACGGGTTAAATGTTCAAGGAGAAAAGCGGTATCCCAATGGACGGGATTAGGTTCCCTGGTATGGGGAAACGGAGGGGGAATGGATGTTGCGCGCCGGCGGCCGCAAAGCAAATTAAAGTGTGCACGGGAGTGTACACATTTCTCTGCCCGTAGATTAGTAAAGGGCAATCGAACTTGGGATGCGGGAAAAATTTAAACCCAAGTTTACTGGTGATACCAAGGAGGATTCAGTTTGCCAGCGGTCCTGTGTGTCAACCTAACGCGAACAGGTCTGGTAATTGGCGAGGGGAACATTATGCAGTTCGAGGAAGGACAAATTTCCAATATGCCATATCTGGAGGGTGATCATTCAGGATTTAATAAAAAAAATAATAATTTAGCACTGCAAAGATTTCATAATATATACAATAAAAGAGGGAGATTTTACATGCTTCTATCATCCAAAGAGAGTAAAATCTCTATGTCTCGTTGATATCTACTTTCCAAGTGAGGGAACAAGAATGCCTTTACCTTTGGGTCTTTGGTGGGTTTTTATTGAGCATAACTTCTTGAAAAGATAAAATATGGTTGCTGGTCTACATAATTGCATCTACAACGATAATCCTGTCAATAGCTACAGATTAGTGATTAGTGACAGGGTCAGGGCGTATTATAAAGCACGTCATTCGGCAGTCCAACAGCGTTTTTCGCAATTCTCGCGGAACGTTCGCGCGCTAGCCTTGCGGAGCCACTCAATCCGCGCGCGTTAGCATATATACCATACGCGCGGGAGAATCTTGACGTCCAACCTCCGACATCCGGGTGCGTGCGGATGACCTGATTTTCCACACATTCTTGTATAATACGCAGCAAGTGGCAGCAAAATGTATAGTCGTGTATCTATCCTATTCGTTCTATGCTGGTGTTTTATTTTCACCTATTCCCGGGAAGACCGTGGGAATCCAAACCGTAAGTACTGCCTAGCTCTTTATTAGCTAGCTACTGACAAAAGCCGAGCAAAGCTAGCTGGTAGCTACTTTAGAGCACTGCATGTCCGGTAATGGAAAAAGCAGGTTTGTGATGTGGCCAGGTAGCTAATAATCATGTGTCACTAATCTGTCAACCAGCTATTGAGGCAACCTTATCTTACCTTCATAGTGTGTACTAGTTTACAGGCTTCTGTGCAGCCTAAAGAACAAGGCCATGCACAAAATTCGCTGTTTGTTCTCTTTGTGTTCGTTAAAAAGAGATTGACAGGATTCTCGTTCAATTTGTAGATGCAATTGTAGAGCAGACACCCATTTTGGTTTTGTTTGTTTTTTCCAAGTAGTTAAACTGTTCATGAAGTTTGGTGAACTTAAGGAAAATATCAGTGGACCCATAAGTGTCACCGATATTAGCAAGTTTACTGGTGACACCAATGAGGATTCAGTTGTCAGTGGTCCTGTGTGTGTATCTAACATTACAAGCAGTGGAAGGGAAGAATTTTATTGGCAGTTCGAGGGAATACAAATTCCAAGATCCACAACTGGAGAGGGTGATCTGTCAGGATGGATCACTGTGATTTATAATGGTGGAGGAAAGCCACATTTAGCACTGCAAAGATTTCATAATAAACAAGCAAAAGAGGGAAATTTTACATGCTTCTATGTTCCTGACCGTGGTAGAGCAGTCTCTGTCTCTGTTAGTATCTACTTTCCAAGTGAGTGAACAAGAATGCTTTTTGTCTCTGGTCTTTGGTAGTTTAATATTACAAAATGGAATAGGTCTTTGAGTTTTTTAGCTAAAACTAGGAAGCAGAGAAATAATTATGCTTCTTTGTCTGAATTTAAATGTGTGTTAATAATAATTATTATGTCATTTACAATAATGGTTTGTATATAGTAAGGTAGGTGTTTCTCCCTTTTATACATATCCCTTGTTATTTTGATGTTTGTTTTATGATAAGCTGCTTGTATAAGTATAGTCCCAATCTTTTTGCTTACCACAACATGGCAGAATTTCAAAGGTATAAGGGTTGTTTTATGTGTATAGTCATGTTTTCTGAAATCCATCCTTCAGAGTCAACAACAGTGATTTCATCTACTAGTGTTTATACAACTGCATTCAGTTCTGCCAGTATATATAAGAATATCACTATTTCACCTGCTTACTTTGTATGTGTTGCTAATGATCTAACTATTGTGCCACTGTGGAAAATGGTCTCTGAAGGCTAGTAACAGCTTGCTATCAGAGTACTTTGCCAAGATGTCACTGCTTATTATGCTATCTTCTTGTGCAGTGGGCACTACAAGTGTTGCTATGACTCATGTCTCAGTGACTGCTTCTTCTTCTGTTAGCTCGATCATGACTTTACCAATGTCACTGTCATCCACAAGTAAGACTGCAATATTTCAGGTCTTTCTAGTGATATTACCTTATAATTCTCGATGACCTTCTTGGTGTCTTCTTTTATCTATATACACCTTCGATTGGTTCCACAGCTAAGGTGTCCGCCCTGGTGTCTTCCTCAGGACTTGATGCTACCAGAACTGCCCCCTCACCTACTGAATCACCTTCACCTGGTAGGTGCATATGGACATGATACCTTATTCCTAGTACTGCTACTTTTGATCTCATGCTAGGTTTCACATCTACGATGGCCACCACTCTGTCTTCATCAGTTTATACAACAGGACTTGACGCTACCAGAACTGCCCCCTTGCCAACAGAATCATTTCAATCTGGTAATAAATCCAGGTGTTTTATTAATTTTTGTAAGAACCAACACTTCCCCCAGATAATGATGATTGATTACCCTTCTTAAAATTATCCTGTATACCTACATATGTACGTCATTGAGTAATGTGTTTGCCAGTGGGGTATGTTTAATTATGTGTGTTCCAATGAATTACAGGTACTTCAAGTGATGATTCAGGGACTCTTGTGTCAGTCACCCCTACTCCATCAGGTATCTCTACCACCACGACTCCACCTGTACAACTGCCCCCACAAGTAAAAATTAGCTCTCTGTGGCAGTGTGAAGTGATGGTTACCTGTGTGTGTTTCCGAGTGTCTGTCTGAGTATGTAATGTTTAGCTTTATGTCCATTCAACAAAGGCAGGCAACTTACTGACCATATGAGAGTGACAGTTACAGCACTTCATGTTTTTCTGTGTGTGTGTTGTGTGTGTGTAATGTATTGCTCTGTCGGTCTGTCTCTCTGTAAGCTAATCTGCCACGACAGACAACATGGCAGTGAAACTGTATTATCGGCTTGGTTCAACTGGCTGCAGTGGGTCCCATTTAATATCATACCCAAGGTGCATCCAAAAAATAATTATGATAATATGGGGGATATTCTACAATGAGGGTGTGTATACTGTGTATACTATGGCATGTATACCCAATGTATACTGTGACCCAGATAGCCACAATGCAGTTTGTTTAGCTAAGCTAATCAAGCTAGGCTAGCCTAGCTGTTTACATAAGCCAGGTGGAGAATGGAGAGTTACAAAACTCCAGCCCAAGGTTGTAGAATGTCTAATTACGCATGCACATAATGACAATATGCGAGCAAAAACCAAAAATTGCTCAATTTCTCTATGGTATATAATAGGCGATTATCCGTATTCAGTAAAATGTATGGGAAAGCATATATAGGAAACGGTTTGGGATTTCAGGTTTGTATGATAATAAACGGGATATTCTATTAAGCGGTATGATATTAAGTGGGACCCACTGTAATACAATTTTGAGCAGTATACACAAACCAAGGTTATTGAATAGGAAACTACTATATGCACAGTAACTAAATATTTCCGGCAAGTTTCGGGATACAAAGCATGACTTTGCCGACTAGATGCGAAAACTGTGTGTAGTGTTCAACAAAGCCCGGCCCATAAATTAGCAGAGCTAGCCTAAAAATTGTACAATGCACATGTTTTATTATGCTTTATTATGCGACAACTGGTTTCCCTTTGTGTTAGTGAACAAAGGAAATACTGTGTGCCTGCTAATATACCAGCTATGTACCTGAAAACACAGTGGTAATTTCTCACTTCTGATGTCTACCAAAAGGATGTGTAACCACTAATCCAGAACACATAGAGAAAGTCCAACAAACATGAAAACATATTATCAATCTTTCATGTGTGCCATTTCACAGGTACAGTCACCAAAGGTGTCTTCTGCTGCTGTCTCTATAACACAATCTAGTACTCAACCTGTGTCTTCATTACTTTCATCTGGTAGGAGGACACAATTTTTATCCTCATTATGTTGCATGTACACATGTTGACATTTCACGTTAGACATTTTCCTATCCTGTATTGTAGGCGTCTCAAGTGGTGTTATGACACTTCCTGCCTCAGTCAAACCTCCTGCCTCAGTCACACCTCCTACCTCAGTAGCTCCTACTACTACTGTTAACCCAAACATCACAGCATCATCACCACCAACAAATATGCCCCACTTAATTTTAAAGCACCTATTACTACGCTATGTTTTTTCATTACCATTTAGACATTCTTACAAGTAGTGGTGACATTGCATCATCTACAACAACTCTTTTATATTCCTCCATGGGTAAGAGTACATACTGTACAGATTTTACCCACTCTAACAGTACATGGTAAGTATGTGAAAACTACGAGGTAGAAAGGCAAAGGCACAACAAACAAATCAAATACACCCACCACAGCTCTTTAAACAAAGAAGAGCTGCCCTGGGTGGGATTCAAACCCACGACACTCTGCTGTCTATAAGACAAGCGCTCTGTATGATACCCAGAAAGGTTGTTATGGGTAGTTACACTACACAAAATGTGAATGTCACACTATGAGGGCCACAAAAGGAAATTCTATATACAGTCTTGAATAGTCCGTTTCTGTCCACCTGAATGTCTCCATTTACGTAGGCATTGAAACTACTTCATTCCTACTTCACTCTCTTGCCAAAAATGTGTTTATATGTTCTCCAGGTTGTACAGATGTAGGTATCACATTCCTAATTATGGAGCTTTAGTATCATTAATAGGATTTGGGACTTATTTTCATTGCTACATTATCGACATTGATACATGTACATGTTGCCAGCAGACAAGTCTCTTCAGTGCATGAGTAGTAAATTCCTCGGCAACCAAACAATGCACATCATTGCTAAAGTGAAAGTAAATTAAAAATCCTGCGAATTTTAAAAAGAGGCATATAGGGATGGTATAAAAAGAAAGGGAGACAAGATAGGGATGGGATACATGAAGCATGGTTAATGAACAGATTTGAGTACGCTGACACCCCCAACCCCATCACACAATCCCTATATTGTTGCCTGGTGTACTACTCTTATAGGGGCTAAAGGTTACTAAAAGCAAGCATTCTTTCACCGTGTCCCTGTTGTTTTTAGTAACATTTATACTGCCACATTCCCTTTAATTAAACTCCACTTGGACTCTATAAGGGTGTTGGTTACTCAGTAGTGTATTTCAAGTTTCTCTTCAGTGCATGAGTAGTAAATTCCTCGGCAACCAAACAATGCACATCATTGCTAAAGTGATATGCATTTGAGCCGTTACTGTGCATAGAACTTTTATTGCATGTAGATAGCCACTAATGGATTCATGTCCACCAAAATTTACAGTTCATCTCAAACATATTTCTATAACAGGTGATTCCAGGTTTGACTATACCTGGATACTGATTCTTCTCTTGGCAATCATAATAGCATTAATTCTGTTTTGCATCATAGTCTTCTGCGTTTGCATCTGTCGGTAAGTCACACCCTAACTGTACACATAATAGGTAATGTAAGAATGTAAGGTTTGAGAGAGGTGTGGAAATCTTTCTTTACCAGGTTACCTCAGATTCACCCTAGCTGTACACACATTGGTAATGTAAGGGCGTGAGCAGGGCACTGAATGGCGTTCTTTACCAGGTTACCTCAGATTAATTAGGGTCACACCCTAACTGCACACATAGGTAATGTGGGCACACAAGTGAGGCACGGGATAGCTTACTTCACCAGGTTACCTCAGACTAATGTCACACCATTACTGTGTGCAGTGTTTTATATTGTGTATCTGGAAATCCTCTCTCAACAGGAGGCGATGTTGTACTAAGTCAAAGAAGATGTCCCTCCAGGGGTGAGTCTGTCTTTGGGGTTTGAAGCTTCCACGGGTTCACTCCCTCTTCTCTCCACATTAACTCCTTCTACATCTCCCATGACAGCGAGGCTATTGAGCACCCTCTCTCCACAGAGACAACAATGATCAGTATGTCGATTAAATTTTTTAGCAACGTAAAATCGAACTGACTCTGAATGTGTTTTTGGTTTTCCATCACAGAGCCACCGATGGCACCTATTGAAGAGAAGACTGAGGATCTGGACAAATACTTGCTCGACATTGAGGTAAGGGGAAAAGTATACAAGCAGAGCTTTTATTTCTCTCTCAGGGAAGTGACGACTCTCCTGCACTGAAGGAAAATGCCTTCTTTGATCAAATCTTGGCAGAAATGTTTGGAGATTACGTAACCCGATGTCACTCCAGTGACAATAGAGACTTCAAACATCAGTTTACAGTGAGATTGGACTGAGCATTTGCATGCACGAGGCAACACTAAACTTCACCTGGACTCTGTTTCAGGTGATGCAAGACTGTGGTGCAGGCTTTTCCACAATTGCTGGATCTAACACGAGTCTGCAAAAGCTCAACAGATATGCCAATATCATGCCTTGTAAGGCATTACTGTTGCCATCTGTGCTCTATTCATTATGGAACTGTCAATCCAGATGATGATAACAGGGTCTTCCTCGTGGCAGTTGAAGGACACACTGAGTACAAAGGAGACTACATTAATGCCAGTTACATTGATGTAAGCTGGATTCCTATCTTACTAAGTCCAGTCCAAAATGTGCAGTGCAGTTTTCTTGAATGAGTGTAACACATATGTAAACTCTCTTGCTCACTCCTATGTATAGGGATACAACTTTGAGCACAAGTTCATAGCGACACAAGGTAAGCCAAAGTAGTAGCCAGGCTGTCTTTGATGCAAGGTGTTTACTACAGGACCACTGCCTAACACAACTGTTGACTTCTGGAGGATGGTGTGGCAGGAGAGGTCTCAGAGCATTGTGATGGTCACCAATCTGGTGGAGGGAAATAGGATCAAGTGTCACAAGTACTGGCCAGAGACTGGGACCCTGTCCTTTGGTCCCTTCAATGTCACCATCACAGGACAACAGATACTGGCTGACTACACCACTCGGGAGTTTAGTGTCCAGGTAATGCACACGCTGGTGTGTAGAAGCATCTTTATATCGAGTCTCTCCTCAGCTGGCAGAGAGCTCAGAACCAGCTCTGAGTGTGACTCAGTTCCACTTCACAGCCTGGCCTGACCATGGAGTGCCTGACTATGCCACTTCACTTCTGGCCTTCCACAAAAAAGTGAAGAAACATCACAAGGGAGGAATGGGTCCAATTATTGTCCATTGCAGGTACAACAATTAGCATGTATAAGCTTAAACGATTCAAACAGTTGCCTATTCAAACAGTGCTGGTGTTGGGAGGACAGGGACTCTGATAACTATTGACTGTGTTCTTGAGCAGCTGCAAGAGGAGAAGGTGGTGGATATAGCTGGTGTCATCATCCACCTCCGCACACAGAGAATGAAAATGGTCCAGAGCTTGGTGAGTGGCACAACTAGTGGGGATGGGATACACCTGACAGTGCATACACTGCTTTGTATGTATCACTATCTGGCTTAGAGGTTATGTCACTACTGCCTACTATAGGAATTTGTGAGGTCCTCTTCAATTCTTTTCCAGTCCATTGCATCGTTGTAGTAGTGTGCATAGCTATTCCAGTGACCGTATTTGGTGTTGCTGTTCAACACAGGAACAATATATCTTCATCCATGATGCTATCCTTGAGGTCCTGACATGCGGTGATACCCAAATCGATGCCTGTAACCTCCGCAGAGTTACTCAGAAAATGACTGAATGTGACACACAAACCAATCTCAACGATTTTGAAAAGCAGTTCGAGGTAAAATCAATGCACATTAGCTATCAATAAATACTAAACTGAGCATTTTTCAAATGCGTAGGTACTTGAGAAGGTTTCTGTAAAGCCAGGAGAGATTGCAAGGAGCGAGGCTCTTCGTAATCCCACCAAGAATCGGAGTGATGACTACCTCCCTGGTAGGTTCTATGAGTCACTGCGGTCATGTGTATGAAAATAACTTCTCATGTGTGTGTGTGTGTGCGTGTGTTGATTATTTCTCTCTTTCTTTGTAAAAACTCATACTGTAGGTGATGCCTGGCGTGTGGCACTGAGAGGAGATCTCCAGACTTATATCCACGCCGTTTTTGTTAATGTATGCACTCCTTTGGGTGACACTTCTACTTAATTTCACCAACTGCATTTTTGTTTCGCAGGGTTACAAGCAACAGAGAGCATTCATCATAGCTCAGAGTCCCATGGAGTCCACAGCCAGAGATTTCTGGAAGATGGTCCATGACAGGAAGTGTGGAGTCATTGTTATGCTCTGTGACTTGGTGGAAGACGAACAGGTAGCCAAACCCTACTCTGGCACAGTGACTCTCGTAGCTACAAGTGCTCTTGAAAACTGCAGGAGACGTGTTACCAGTATTGGCCTCAGACTGGACTGATTCAGTTTGTGGGCTACACAGTTGATCTGATGGAGGAAAAGGTCATGGAGGGATTCATCATGCGCAAATTAAGCGTCTACAGTGAGAAGGTATTAAGGAAGGTTTTCATAATAAATTATATTTTGGGGTTCTTTTTATACAGGCAGGCAGTGCCCACCAGGTTGTTCAGTTGCACATGACTAACTGGAGTCCTGATGGCAGCTGCTCTCACCTGGCCACTATCACCAGTGTGATAATGAGATGTCTGCCATTCAGAGAAGAGCGGCAACAATCCTGTTCTGGTCCACTGCAGGTCA